AGGCTCCGCTTAGCCATTCCCTTGAAGGACTGTGTCATCTCGTAATGAAGCAGCCATAAAAGACGTGACATGAACGCAAACAATTTTGTGATATTTAATGCCCAGACAAATTGTTAAAAAAGTTTCAAAGATGCTGAATGGGGTAAAGACTATGTCAAAAAAGACGCTGCAACAGATCAAGTATTACAAATTCTCATGCATGCGAAAATATGCTATTAACAGAACAGTGACGGGGTCGTAATTTTGCGTGAGGCTTTATAAAAGCACGGTAATTTTAAGGAACTTTCTGAGTGCCATACGCACTTATAACTTTTTATGTGGTCGAAGTACAGCGACAGCATACTTATTACAAAGTGTGTGTCACACACCTACGGATGAACCCACTACAGGACGTGATCAACATGGCATCATTGAGGTTTGTAACCAGCGCCTTTTCATTTATTAATTTTGCTGCAAAGACAGCTTCTCATCAAAGTGCGTGTGTAATCGATAATTTCATAGCCAACGACAATTCACTTTTTTGTATATTCATTAAATGTAATATTATGTATATTTGCAATTTTTGTAACGACTAGGCTAAAGGACGAAAAATTGCGTCGTGCCACACTCAGCAGAAGCTTATATCTCTCTGTGAGGCGAAGGTTCGTGTTGAGGTAGTGCGTAACAACTGTAATTATCCGCCCAAATTTTTTCCCGCCTTTTAAACGTACCAGACAAATGACACTTATATATGAAGGAAAATGATCGCTCGGTACTTCATTTATATGTAACTAGGATCTCATAGCAACGTTGCAACACAAAAAAAACCTACCTTTGATGGTTAGTATTTTCATACAGAAGCCGTGCTGACGTGCGTATGGGCCAACAAGCTGTGCTCAATGCAACGAGATAGCTTGTACAATATAAGTGACGTCCGAGTCTAATCACTTCGACCTTTGCAGCAGATTAATTGCACTAAACACATGTTGTTGGATGCAGTGCATGATCTTTCAGTGCACACTCATAAAAACAAGTAGTTATTCGTGACTCCTAAATGTCCTATAAAGTGGCTAAATCGAATTAATATAAGACTATAACAAATTACCAGAGTAAAGCCAGATGGCTTGAACAGACGCTCGATCTGTACAAACTGCTATTTCCAAAAGCTATGCAAGATAGGTGAATTGCCCGGAAGGACGTCTGGCTCATACGTTGAACTCTACTTTACTTTTAGCGAAAAAATTGTGCAGTCGACAATCTATTGAGTTTTCTTTCTGATAATATTAAGCACAAGTTTGTAAAAATCTCGAGTTGCTCTTAATTCTACCCTGCATGGCGAATTTTGATGATGTGGCTAGAGAGAAATTCTAGCATATTGCTGTACATCCCTCACTTGGTGTCAAATAATCTACGATCACAACATTTTTTAATTGATAAATAAAAAAGATATGAAGTCGCCATTAAATTAATAGTTTTATGCCTCCAGTCTAGATTCACAGACATGAAACTTAGATCGGAGTTCGTACAGACGGTCCAAACATTTGCTACATCGCAAATTTGGCTGCTGTGGTATTTTCGGACGGTGTTTGCATCTCTGTTTGATGTCAAATGCATTCGCAATGACTTTGCTTGATGAATTCTAGCCGAGTGAAGTGAGGTCGGATTCGCACACGCTGCTTAGACCGTATTTTAAACGCTAAGAGCATGCAGCTACGCTAGCTTAGCTTTGATGGGTGACAGAACTAATTTATTACATCTGACAACACTTTACAAGCACGACAAATCCTATACGACTAACGGTAGCAACAAAACAAGCAACGAGTCCCGACACTTCACCCGCAAATCATGAGATTCGCACAAATAAGTTCTGACTTATCATTATTCTCAACCTTCTAGTTGCGTCTATCGATCTACATAAAGCACTATCAAAAATGAAGAGAGAAGCTATTTTGCAGAAATGCAATTGATGTCGTCCACCGGCATCTATGTTGGATCGAACAAAATATTAAAATTGTCCACATTACCAGGCATTAACAAAGATTTGCTGACAAGGTCTTTTAAGCTTACTGACGCACTATCAACTGCGAATTATTGCAATCAAGCGACTCGTAGACCCATCTACATGTTCAAGCAAGATATTAAGAGATGGCCCAAACTATGGCGACATTTATTAATCAAATTACACGACACCCATAAACTACAATACAAGTCGCCCATCAAAGGCGTAGTTTGTATTTTCGTGTACGAAAAAAATAATTAATTTATGACTATGATACAGATACATAGGCACCACAAAAGATTGAAGCATTTATAAGTCGGTCTTGTTGCCATCGAGATTGCAACGGACGCAAAGTGTTTATTACAGAGGTTTTCGAGGATCAAATGATAATATGTCATACCCAGCTTGTCGATGGACATTTACTTTCTCTACATACTTCCTTTTGCGCTCCCTAAACTTAAAACTAAGTGAATATTCGGGCAAAAATGGATTTATACTTTAAAAGTATTAATGTCTAAAGATTTAATAAAAGTATTACTTTTGTACACGTACGGCAATATGTTGGTAAAAATTGATACAATGAAACATGTTCGACTTAAGGGCGTTCGGGTATCTCGGTTAAAAAAAGTAATAATGAAGTGTTGTCATATATTTTTTTTGTTAAATTTATCTCTGTGCACGTGCTCAAGCGCTTTTGAAACGTTTGACGCGGAGAACATGCAGAAAGCGATTTTATTACGACCTATACACTACTATAAACTCGAAATACTCTATGAAATGTATTATTCTAATTTATAAAAAGGGGTAGCTAAAATCATGCAATTTTCCCTTTTAATAGGCTCGTTAAATTGACTTGTATTTATGATGCCATTCCATTTAAATTCCTGATCCCGACGGGCTCTGATCGGGAAAAGGATCGAATAAGAGTGTGACATTTTGTGCAATAGTAATTTTATTACGTATGTAGGGCATAAAGTGCTAGCACTGGAGCTTGAGTCGCAAAGAGTAAAATGAAGAAATATATTACTAAAATGACATTGAGTGGGCTAGACTAATGCAATCAACTTCATTTAAGTTCTTGGAAGCAGGGATCTGCGTTTTGCTCGACATCACTGCAGTGTAAGTAAAGCCTTTCACCTGGTTGATCTACTACGACTTCGTCAGATGTGGACAAATTTTACATCATAATGCAATTATCTAGCCTTACCTGCATCCATGTCCATGTCTAACCGTACACTGTGAATTGACTGCAAACAACTTCTTGTGTTGTATCCATTGGAAGGATTTTTAATACTTCTACGTACTGGACTACCTGCCGCCCAAAAGCTATACAGGCAACTTGTTTGCCCGCACACAGGTGAAGTACGACGCGTTACATGTACGGCAACACACAGAGCATTAAGGTCGGCAACAAGATCAATACAGAGACGGATATTAGGGCGATCGAACTGCCTCGGCATTACTTTTAAAGGTCTTCTCACGGGATTTCTGAAGTTATGATGCGAGCTACTCGGGGTCTATGCGCTAGGTGCCTTCGGCCGCGATATTGTCGACATTTTTTTTCGCGAGTAGTCGATAATTCACTAATATTTTTCGGTCGACGGCGATCAGGACCAGCGCACATTCTATGATTCTATGAGCGATAAGATGAAACTTGTAGGCTTTTAGTGTTATAACTATACTTGAACACGATCCTGTACCGTTTGTGAGGCCAAGTGAACAAAATAGAGAAGGAGACGATGAACAAGATCGTGATTAACAACGTATTTGATTTTTATACGTTAGTATACGACATCTAATGTACCAACTGTAAGCTTACAATGCGGTGGCTAAAAATGATATTGGTTGGTTTTCATCTTCGTTGCTTTCTGCCTTTCTGTAGCTATCATTAAACTGGTGACGCAGACATGTACGGTGTCGGTTGCTTTTATCTGGACGACTGCATCAACATTATGGACATCTGATAATTAAGTACAACCCGAAGTATGAATATTCTTAGAAATAGTACGCGAAGACAAAGAAACCAACCGTGAAGCACGACAGGTACACGCCGACGCATTATACAGTCTGGCTATGTTTTACAAACAGGTAGAGAAAGCATGTTACCATCGACGCCGAAAAGTGAGCCAATTTGGTACGTCTAAATACGTGATGTGTCTTAAGAGTCCGGACAAGCTAACGCTCCGTGTTGATCTTCTTATAATGGAATTGTTATAGTCCTAATTTTTGAGTGCACAATCACTCTGCCGATATGCAACGGCATAAATATCTACAGCCATGAGCACCTCTTCTTAAGCACCGCGTGTGGCAATGAGCGGAAACCGTCAAACACCAAGAGCAGCAACATTGGAAAAATTGATGTCACGCAAGACATAACCGGCGTTACTCTTACGTTGACCGCCCTCGTTGTGTAAATAGCCTGTCGCTGCTACAGATTTATTCATTGTTGTAACGGGGCACCCTGAAGCTTGTACTGGTGACAGTACAAGCTACTTGTTCTGATGACAGAATAAGGCGGTGCCTCGTAACTTCACGTACACTCGTACGTGCAGAGGAAGACGGTAAGAAGAAGCGAGTACTTGGTTAGAGTAAAAAGTAGAACTGTATTTAGTATAGTTAATGTCTGCAATGAATCACTATTTATCTTCATCTAACTATGTCTAAATACAAATGTGTAAATCAACTATCTGCTCACCACTCATTGCGTGCGTCTGTCGTGGCGCGTCTTCGTTGGTTGATATAATGGCCTATATCAACCAATTAGGATTTACTCGTAAGTGCTACAGAATATTTGTCCTTATGACAATATTCTGAGAATATAACTCTTATAGTTATATTCTATTAACAATTTCTTATAAATTGTTATGTAGCGATTCACCCCGTTACATCACCCCCCCTAACCATCAGTCACTTTAGTGACTGATTGACTAAATGGGTACTCGTCCCAAATGATTTGGGACGGGGTGTGCACTTGTTAGTCCGAGTCCATTTTCCAACATTTCATCGCATGGTTAACAAGCCCATGCGATGCGCGAGCAAGGCCGCCGAGAGCGCGTCCGCACGTCTCTGTGCGGACGCCGAAGCAGAAACAACAGCAACTGATGTCTCATCGGTTGCTGAAGCGACCCAGCCTGTGTCACTTGGTGATGCAGGCGCTGGTCATGAAGACACTCGTGTCTTCACAGAGTACGAGCTCGGTGTCTCGTACTCTCCTGATACGGATGACGGAACCGTATCGACGGCGATTGAATCTAAGCCGCCTGCCAAGCGTGACGTGGATGATGCTTTGCGTCGCAGCATCTTTGGTTCATCTGATGAATCAGATGAACCATCGCCGAAGCGAAGGCGCTCGAGGTCGCGAGACTCGGGCGCTAATAGTGGTGTCGGTTCTCCTATGGACACCACTTCACAGCGGGGTGCCAGTACTGCTGTCGGCACGTCGCAGGAAGAGCGGGACCGCAATGTCTTGCGTCTCGCTCCCGAGAAGAAGGCATGGATGCCTCCTAAATCAGTCATGGATCACTTGTCGGCGACGACGAGTGATCGTTATCGAACACGATTGTTCGATTCGTCAAGGATCCATCACCTTGACCCCAGCGCGAAAACCTATCGCGCTGAACATGAATTCTTCATCGATGCTTTCTTTAGACATCGATGGTACAGTGGGAATCACAAACGTGATGGTCCCTCACTACTTCAGGCGTGGAACGCCTACATCCATAACCTCGAGGATGTAGGTCGTGACGCTTGGAACGACAAACTTATCAAAGCTCGTGATAAGTTTGAAAAGCGAACCCCGACTGGTGCACGCTACAAGCTGCATTGTCTGTCAAGGGAGAAAGGATTACCCTGCTTCTCTTGGGGAGACTCGTGCCCATGTTGTGTGAACAACTCTGCACGAGCACCTAAGGAGGCTTACCTCCTTACCAGCCCGTGGTGGCGCGTATGTAGTCTCTACTGAGATGTACGAAGGGATTGACAACCTGAAATCCATTTACGACCGTGCCGGGAAGACTTTCTCCGGCGGTCCTTCTGCGGCACAGGATGTGCCGCGTCGTACTGCTCAACCAGACCCAGTACGTCGATCATCAGTTGGGAGCGGGGCTCCCAAGAATCCCAGGACGGGGGATAGCCGCGCCACCGGACGAGATAACTCGTCCGACGTCCGTTCACGTCGCGGTGGTTCAACAGCTGCTCAACTATATAGCGCTGGCCACCGCGAGAGTCCTCTAATAGAGGTGGAGGAGGAGGAAAGACGCTCTCCACACGATCATGTGGATCGGTGTGTTCCCGAGAGCTTCTTTGATCGCGTAACGCAAGGGTTACGCGACGACCTCGAACATGAGCGGAATAGGCGTCTCCAAATGGCGGACACTGCCTCGAAGCATCGAGCTGAGTTTGCCTTTGCTCAGCTTGAGAACGAGAGATCTCTGACATCTCTTCGTGACGAGCTAAGGGTAGCTCGTGGGATTGTTGATCGGTCTCGGGATGAGATAACTGCTCTTCAGACCCTTGTTGATGCCCACCATCGGGAGCACAAGGTCTCTCTGCGAGATGCTAGAGCGCAAGGGCGTTCTTCATCGGAAGAAGCAGCGTACTGATGGTACGGCTTAAGCCGACCAACGTAAAACGTGGGATGCGTTCGCATCTTACGTGGCAACTCGATCGTGTGTGCATTGCCTAGGCGGTGCAATACACGAAATGGGCCGATGTACTTGGGTAGTAGTTTACTGCTACCCAAGTTAGTCACTACATGCTTTGGTAGATTAACCGTAGACAGTAGTACTAAGTCACCTTTATTAAATAAAAGAGTGTTCGCCCTTCCATTCTTGTCAGCGTTTTGCTTTTGCTTATCCATCGCTTCGGCGATGGAGTCTTGCACAAAACGGACTACCGTTTCACAAGCCAGTATGAACTCATCTGATGACTCGTTAGCTTCAGTGCGCTTTGAGCGCACTGCAGCAACATCAATCTTTTCTTCAGTGAGGGCTTCCGCACTCTCACTGGCATCATCTTCTTCAGTGAGGGCTTCCGCACTCTCACTGGCATCATCTTCTTCGAAATCGATGTTATCGATATCGGCATCAAACGCAATGACTTATTCGTCAGAGCGTGATGAGCGTGAACCAAATCGGTTTTTGCTCGCGCGAGTCCCTCCCCCTTAAACCAGAGTTACACTCTAGTAAGGTGGGTACACGCGGATGGCGCAAGCCATTCACGTAGAACGGTGTATGTGTCGTGGACGCATGCACCGAGTTGTTAATGGCAAACTCTACCATTGGCAAAAACTCACTCCAACTCTTAAAGGAGTGTACGTATCCTCGAAGTATCTCTTCAAGGACACGATTGGCACGTTCCGTCTGACCATCTGACTCTGGATGATCAGATGTTGACATCTTCAAGCGCGTTCCGAGTGATTTGAACACGGAACGCCAGAAATCAGCAGTGAATCGTGGATCTCTGTCTGATACGAGTTCACGGGGCAACCCATGAAGTCGGAAGATGGTGTCTATAAAGACACAAGCACAGCCACTTGCCGTGATTGTCTCTGGTACAGCCACAAGGTGTACCATTTTGCTGAATCTGTCAACAAATACGAGAATACCCGTATTCCCGCGTGCGTCTTTGGGTAACCCGAAGACAAAATCCATTGAGATGGATTCCCAGCACTTAGCCGGAACCGGTAGAGGCTGTAAAGGTGCACGCAGTGAAGGACTTGACTTCACTCGTTGACAGACGTCGCATGCGCGAACATACTTTCGCACAAACTGATACTGGCGGGGCCAGTAAAAGTCTCGACTCACCGTGAGATATGTTTTTTCTCGGCCACGATGTCCTCCTATAGGAGCATCGTGATACTCGAACATAATCCGCAAACGCAGATCAGTATCATCTGGAATGACAACACGTGGTGTGTCACCAGAAACGGCTGTATAATACAGTAAACCGTTACGAGTAGTGTATCGATCTGATGCAGATCGATACGCAGACGATAATCGTTTCAACGATTCTCGAGATGGTTGGGAGAGATGTGTCAACAACTTCACAATCTCACCATCTTGGGCGTATGCCCGCCTCACATCATCATACAACGTTGTAGATGGGACTGAGGACGTCATAACCGCAACAGTGACTGTCTCACTGTTGGGTTTCACGACTGGTTCAAAGTCGGGACGACGTGAGAGTGCATCAGCGACGACATTAAGTCGTCCTGGTTTGTACTCGACCGTAAAGTTGTATTCCGCAAAGAATGACAACCACCGCGCCATTCGTTGTGAAAGGTGCGGGTTGTTCACTGCCGTGCGTAATGACGCATAGTCAGTGTAAACAATGAAGGGTCTATCTCCTAATAGATAGACTCTGAACTTCGCGAGTGCATACTTCATGGCAAGGAGTTCCTTGTCATGCACTGGATAGTTCCGCTCAGCTGGTTGCAGCTGACGCGACTGATAGCAGACGACGCGTTCAACGCCTTCAAGATCGTACTGCATTAATGCACAGCCGATTGCGAAATCGCTGGCATCACAGACCACATTAACTGTCCTGTCTTGATCGGCTATTGCTAGGACTGGGGATTGTATCAAGCTCTGCTTGATACCATCAAAGGAGCGTTGACATTCAGCGTTCCATAACCACCTCTCGTTCATTTTCAACAAACGAGAGAGGTGCACAGTCATCTCGGCGTAATTGCGTGAATACTTATGCAAATACGCCGCTAGCCCAAGGAATTTTCGAAGACCTTTGACATCAACCGGCACAGACCAGTCGGTGATCGCCTTGATCTTTTCGGGATCAGGACGTACACCGTTCTTACCAACGATGCACCCAAGTAGTGGTATTTCGCTTGCTGCAAATATACACTTCTTGAGGTTCGCATACAATTGATGCTTTCGCATGATTGTAAGAACCTGTCGGACGTGGTACCTATGAACCTCAACGTCCGACTTTCCATCCATAGCTCGACTATGGATGAATACGTCATCGAAATAACTCGGCGAATTCTCGTACTGGTCTCAACAGATGTGATACACATCTGTTGAATGTGGCAGGGACATTACTAAGCCCTTGTGGCATTACTAGCCATTCCCAGAGCATGCCGCTAGGCGTGCTCACTGCGGTATAGGGTATATCCCGTTCTCGCATGAGGATTTGATAGAAGCCATCCATCAGATCCATGGACGAAAAGATGGTACTCTTTGACATACCATCAATGATTACGTCCTTCCTCGGTATCAGCGTCTGAGCCGGTACCGTTGCAGCATTCAACTTGTTAAATGCATGCACTATCCGCCACCCTCCTGTTGCTTTTCGCACACAGAAGGTCGGAGAGCTATGTGGGGAAGTTGATTCCCTCACATGGCCCGCAGCTAAACGATCGGCAAAGAACTTGTCGATCGCAAGTACTTGTTCACGAGGCAGTGGCCACTGCTTCATGACACAGTACTTCGAGCCTGGTTTAAGCTCGACCTCGTGTCGAATACCTTTATCCTTCGGTAATTCGCACGGAACAGTTTCAGGGAATACATCCTTGAATTCAACCAAATCTTCATAGAGAGGATTTTTCTTGAGCGATTCCCATGATTGGGAGTCATATCGCTCAATTCGTGTCTTTTCATCTAGGACACTCTCGTACATAGATGAACTACTGAGAACTCTCTCGTTCTCAGTGAACACTGTTGCTGACCTTATGTCGGTTACACACTCGTCGTCAGCGACGAGTATGCAGATCTGCTTGACTTTGCCACTACGCAGATCACGCAAGAACCTTTTATGTTCGAGCGTTGGCAACTGAGTGATCTCCGAAGTTAACTTCGGAGGCGCAATCAGATCAAGTGTATAAGCGCCTACACTTGATCCGTTATTGACTATGACATTCAATGTCTCTGTCATTTCCTGGGGACTTATTCCCTCAGGCTTCGAAGGACTTATTCCTTCGTCTTCCCGGGGACTTATTCCCGCGGGTTTCGGGGAACTTATTTCCGCCGTATTTGTAATCTTGGGACTTATTCCCTTTATTTCCTCTAGCTGGGGTTGCGCAACCACAGCGAGATCCTATACGAAAGACTCTCCAGTCGATCTAGGATTATCGTTTCGCTTAACCTGAGCGATCGATTATTTCTCTTCTAGATGTTCCCCGCTAGGGAAACATCTTTGACCCGGTCCACTCGACTTATTCGAGTGGTGGACCTTCGGCGCAGCCTGTGTTTCCTCACAGCCGCCGGAACTTTGCTCCGAAGTGTAACCGTTTGGTACACTAAGGTTTTGTGCAGTCGTACTAACGACCGTACCACAAGTGAGGACATCGCACTCACTCGTAGTACATCCACACGCTTGTGGACGCTCCAAAACGTTCATCAGATGGCCATCTGATGAACAAGCGGCAGGCATCGTTACTATTCGATGTTGCCAGTTTACCCGTGGTTCGTACCTTCTGAGCCACGGTATTCCAAGGATGACATCAAATTTGTCATCCAAATCCAATACGATAAATTCATCGTCATATTGGGTATCTTCTAGCGTATAGTGGATCTTCACTATACGCTTCATGAAGGTTACGGATGCGCCTGTCGCAAGACGTACCGTCATCCTCGTAGGAGGTGTGTCACATTCACTGAACTTAAAGTGACCATCTTCTAGCGATTGGCGTCGCACAAAATTGTTGGACGCCCCACAATCGACTAGAGCTCGAAGGGAAAACTTATTCGTCACTTCGAGTTTCAAGGTAATGAGTGAGACCTCATTACCTAGAGCAGCAACGCACAACGTTTGTGTGTTGGGAGCAACCTTCATCAAGAGGCCTACAAATTCTCTTGACGTAGCTGGACCAGTAGGGTGCTCCGCACTTACTGATCCTGTCCGTTTTTTGACGGTCCATCCCGTTGTTGCGTCTTTGCACCAACAGCGGACCCTCGTCCCTGCCCCTTTCTCAAGGGTGGACGGTCACTACGCCCAGTGTCGCGAGACACTGGACGAGGGGCACTACACTCGTAAGCGTAGTGTCCTGTCTTCTGACATCTGTTTCATGTCTGCAACTTCTTGTAGTCTGTAGAGCGAGCCTTCGCGCTCTCTACATAACAGAGTTCCATCGGCTCTGGACCTCCGTTGTCATATCGTCTCGGTTGACGATACGATGTCGAGCTGGCGCGAGCCTGTCTCAGACTGAAGTCTTCCTGTTCCGCAATGGAAATGGCTTGTTCTAGTGAATCCAGTTCAAGCCGGAACAGGTGAGTCTTGACGGGACCATCCGCAAGACCCTGCATGAACACCGAAACTAACGTGTGTTCATCCACCGGATTGGAACTTACACAACTCGTAAGATGTCGTATATGTTGGGCGTAAGCGTGCACATCACGCTTACCCTGCTTGAGCTTCAAGAGTTCGGTTCGAGCTCTGAACTCAGCTCTAGGCGGTTCAAACGTTTGTCTGAGCCGCGACTTGAAGACTTCCAACTACCCAAACGCATATGGGTCGTGCAACTTGAGCCCCAGTGCCCAAGTCTTGGCACGTCCTGCCAGATTTGACTGGGCAAATGCAACTTGCATATCCCCGTCGTCGATGCGACGCGCCCTTATGGCGTCATCCAAGTCGACAAACCATCTCA